AGCTTGGTAGCCGTGAACACGACCTGGCTGTTTGATTCAGGGACTAAGTACGGGTTTGATCTCCGGGGCGCCACAATTGATAGATTAGATCAACACTGGATTTTCTGAATTACAAAGGTGAGAAGGCTCAGCAAGAATAAAACACACGCTCCTACTTTTAAGTGGAGTACCGATTAATCAGCCTGATGCACGTCAATAATAGGCTAATTATATGCATGGCCCATGAGGATAACAGCACAGGGAAGAAACAACCCTTTTCATTCCTCATGTCAATGAAATCATTAACTTGTTATTGCGGGAAAACCAGATTTGCTTTACAAGATATTTAACCGCTTTTCACATGATAACATAATTACAAGCTGTTCTGTTCTGATCTGATCTGAGAGAAAACTGCTCTTGATGTGAAAAAATGATGGGATTCACCTTTTAATAGATACTTTTTGTGAATATTACCAATTTCAAAATAAAGCATGTAGAACAGAATCCATTTCCCCCAATATATAACAGCACACATGTTGTCTGGACTTCATCGTCCTCTTCCCTGCCATAGATACACTGAGAGGTGAGTGGATTGGGGATATAAGAAAAACAGGCATAGGTGCATCCATTCGCCAAGTGAGTCACTACATGCAGGCTCGGCTCAGCAGGAAGTGCTACGGTACGTAAATAACAATCAGTCTCGGTGAGGTTCCATCTCTCTGCCGTTGCTACATTTCCCACTTAACTGCGGCCGCCGACATGTTGCTGTTGTCTCCCTTGCACGAGTGCTCCTGAGAGCCTCTCGGATCCGGGGGTAAGGTGTGAGAGGCGAAGTGAGCTGCTGCTTACCAGGACTGCAGATCTCAGGATTATTGTATTAACAACGGGTCGGCTTCATCACCAAATGAGAGCCAAGATGTGATATTGGCAGGAGAGTCGCCTGGCTTTAGCACTCCAACAACACCAAAAACAGCAGCACTACAAAGCAGACCATTAGAATGCTTTTAATCTATCGATAAACATTTGTTTACAAAATCTTGTCTTACCATCCTCTTCAAATCTTTGGAGATCTGGTTTCCACCTAAATGGTTGTAAAAGGGACGGTCGGTCCAGTGTCCACTGTTGTGGGTGACAGAGTTGGTCCTCTGCCGGTTCATTTTGGCAATCATGGCCTTTTCCTCTTTCTGTAAGACAGAAAAAGCAAAGACAGGTTTTAGAAATAAAGTTTACACATACAAGTTCACACATTTTGCGAGAATGTGTAACATATATTAGGATTTATCACCTTTTATCAACTGCAAATTATATACTTTGTGAATATCTCTTCTATCCAATAAGACAACGTTATCTCACAGTGCTGGCATGATTATCAGTCGTGCCAACGCTGTCACCAAAACCTGCCATGAATGTTGCCTTAAGACGGAGTCATCTGCTACCAGTTTGTGAATGAAAGTGGTGAATCTGGGAATTCCATGCAATCGGTTTCTTTAAAAAAAGCAATTAACTGGGACAAATCATCAAAAATCAAGTATCTGTTGGTGTCTATGTAAACAGAAATTCACTCAGCCTTGCTCCTGAATTTTATTTGGTTGATGTAGGTTTGTTTGTCTGACACTATCTGAGGATGGGGGAACATAAAATAAACCCTCTTTTTACGGTATTCCCAGAGTATTTAAATGCAAAAATAAGCACACTCCTTGTGGAAAGCCTTCCTGTTACAGCTGCAACGGTTGGTCCACATCATATTTAAACCCTACGGATTAAGAAAGGAAAATATGAAGGCAGATGAGCAAATCCTTTTAGCAACGTTGAATGTCACATGACGTTCTCTGTGTTTGGTCACAGTTGATTATTGGAATTGTTTTAGATTAGCCCTTGCTAGCTCTGATACATTTATAACAATGCACATCATCCTTGTTAATAATAAACAAGTAAAATAAGAAAAAATAAAAGAAATAAACAGGGGAAGTCAGCAAATTGATAAGCAGATGATGATAAGGATGAAGGGCAGGGGAGGAAAACAGAGCCTCATTTTTCATTATGGCTCTTTGTAGCATAATAGCCGCTACTTTGGTACAAAGAGGTGTGTGTGTGGATGTTGGAGTTCGAGCCAGGAGTGGTGGGATCATAATGTGAATGGCTTCACCGACAAAGATTTCATCCAAATAATTCAAATGTCGAGGGCCACTTTTAACTACGTCCGATTTCAACGAGACTCTCGTGGCAAGACATTCAGATGAGGCGGCTGATGTAACAGTTACATGACCTGGACTGACATCACACAGGAGACAAAACCATATTATATTTGTGCACACATGGAAGTGGCCCAGTTCAAATATATATCAGAAAAATATCGGAGGGTAATCTTTTCCTAAATGCAGAAGAAGAAGAAGTAAAAACATCCACCGAGTGTAAAACTGTTACACTGATGAAAAAGATTCCTTTTCTCCTTCTGGTGTTAAAAGCTGGTTTCCTGAGATGGTAATCTGTAGTCATTTTATTTCTTTTTACTTTTGTTTCTAGATCTGCATCCTGGCTCCAGGATGTATTCACATAAAAAAAGAAAGAAAAGATAAAAGTAACCAAAATAATTAGACTGCACAATCTTCCTTCTGTCTCCCAGCAATGAGCAGCAAAATAGGAAGACAATATCACTTCACATGATATGCTATCTATAGTCGCAGCTTGTGATGATGCTGGAGGACAGACAGCTGATAACAGTCTGGTCATAAACAAACAGCGAAGCAGAGACGAACTCACTCTTGGACGAAACAGATTCCCGGTTTATAACACAGACGATAAAACGATCCGTTTTTCAGATTCTGTGATCTAGAGAAACGTCACATATTCAGTGGAATTCTGGGATGTTACATTATACTTTTTCAACCTTGACAGACGTGTGCTGTTGACCCTCGACCTCATCTTTAAATCGTGTCAGGCTAATTGATTATATTATATAGGTCAACAATGGGTTTCCTTGAAATTTAAAATTATTATTGAAAAATTCTGCAGCTACTAAATGTCAAACAGGAGTAATGACATAAGAGTCATAAGAATAAATAATAATGTGTCCCACTATAAGCCATAAAGTACAGCTCACAGTTTCTTTTCTGCCCCCTAGTGTTTAATAATCAGTTAATGCCACTTTAAATCACTTCAATGTATTTTTGATGTATATATTTGTACTATAAACAGTAATAGGTGAAATACCCTTTTCTGACTGCAGCCCACAATGAGGTAGGTTTCTATGTTGTTCTTCTTCAGGTAGGCATTTCTTTCTCCTCCTGTTCCCGGTTCCACATCATAGTCCCCATTCAGGTAATTCAGAGTGGCTTTAGTTATATGGATGCGCCTAAAATGAGAAACACACACACACACACACACGTATTGATTATTCAGACACTGTATATTCATATCTACAACTCTGTGGGCTGTTAAATATAACAGTTTTAGCAAAATTGGTTACAACTCTATTTGGCAAACCCAGCTTTTGTTAATAGTGGAAAATATAAAACATTAAATGTTTCAATTGAGATATTTTAAACGTGAAAAATATTAGCACATTTTTCATTACACATCTCAAAATAAGTTGGAGCAGGGGAAACAAAAATGTTACTAAAAAGCAACAGCTGGTTATCAAAGAACATCTTCAGAGTTTCTCAGAAGTGAGGA